CATGACAAAATGCAAACATGTTTTTGAATGAATAAAGCGTTACGTTCGTTAACAGCTAGAAAGTCGACAGGAAGCGGGCTGGGGTGGATGGCGGGCGTAGAAAGCGCACAACCTTCAGACCAGAGGCCTGGGTTCAATTCCAGACTTTGGTCTGTGGTTATATTTAGGCAACAGAAGCATTTTGGTTGAAGTTAGTGAAAGATGGTGGTTTAGGATAAATATAAATAAACACGTTGTGTCTGAAGTCACTGTGAACTCTCTCTGTTTCAAAGCAGACAAGATCTTATGTCTTCTTATTTAATGATTTATTATTTCATTCATTATTTTATCTCATTTGCATTAAGGTTTTCAATGTTTTTCATTTTAGATCGATGCTTTTAACATGTTTTAATGTTCATTTTATGTCTTTTCATGTGAAGCACTTCTTTGTTGTAAAGCACTTTGTGCAAAATTTCTTGTATGAAAGGTGCTATACATTATTTATTTATTTATTATTATTATTATTATTATTATTATTATTATTATATCATTAATAGTTTCCATTTTGTGTACCTGGACACAAACTGGAACTGACTTGTACTTACATTGCGATTTCATGTTTATTTACCGTATTTTCTGTCTCTGTCACACAGGTACCTGTTGTACAACAAACCAACCAAGGTGCTGTCTCCAGAGTACTTGTGGTCAGATTACGATCAGGTACCAGCGGACATCAGAGTGGTCAGGATCTCCCAGCTGGTTAAGAACTACGCAGAGGTGCGGCCCAATGGTGGACAGTGACGTAGAGTCAATTCAATATTCAGGACATCGAACCTTCTTAATGAAATAAGAAATGATCATTGGAAGAGCTGGTATGCATTGCTTTCCCAAGTACGGTACAGGGACGATACAATGTGGTGTCGTGATGTATTGTCTTCTAAAGCACTGACATTATCTGAATTCTCAGGGATTAACAGTGTATTACCTTTTTTATTGCGTTTCACTTTTCTGCCCCTGTGACGACAACAGCCCCGGCCAGGTGCATTTTGTTTTCGGGTTGTCCGTCTGTCCCATTCTGGTGAACCTCTTCAATGTGATATTTCAACACCAATTTGATGGAATTTGTTTAGATTCAGCACAAACGTTCACTTGGACTCAAAGATGAACTGATTTAACATATTTTTACATTGCTACATAAATGAACTTAATTATTATTGTTATTATTATTATTAGTTTACTTTTACCTTCATCAGGCCAAAACTACTCTACGTGAGCATGTGTATGTAAATGTAGGTAATCGTACTTTCAGATGAGGTAAAGTGAGATGTATGGCAGTAACAGAAGGGTGTACGTAAGGGGACGAACAGGACTGGGGGTGTTCTGCCTATTAAGGATTTTCACACCTTCACCAAACTGACTCCACCCCGACTGAGGAGAGGCACCACTGCATCCTTCAGAGACAAGCTGCAGCCTCTGGTTTGAATCTTCGTGGAGAAGGATTCATACTGCAGCGGGACAAACACACCTCAAAGCTTTGCAAGAACTACTTGAAGAACAGGGACGAACAAGGAGTCCCAACCGCCATGGACTTTCCTCCACAGCAAAATAAAGTCTAAAAAAAAAAAACAGCTTATTTTTGGATTGTTGTAATTTCCATTATTTGGTTTTTCCTTGTGAATTGAAGACCACAGGTGACTGACATTAATGGGGAGGGCTGGAAACTGTTGTCAGTATTCCACATTCCCTGCCCAAATCTGCATCTATAAATCACGAGCAGAGGTCCCCATCACCCAGATTAGTGATTATCAAAGCCATGCCACCTCAACTTCACATTATAATGAATTATTATGTTGTGAAGAGCAGGTCTGGAGGAGAAGCTCATCAGAGGCTGTACAGGGCAGCGGTCCCCAACCTTTTTTGCACCATGGACCAGTTTTGAAAAGACAAATTTTCAGAACCGGTTGTTGTTTGGTTCTTTTAGTTTTAGTAGGTCTAATAATCGGCTGTTATAAAACATAGCCATATAATAAAAACACAACAACTGAAACTCACCATGGAGCTGAATCAGTGGGAGCCCTGGGCGTGATGGTCCCATCTGGGGGTGATGGGACAGAGAGTGACACCTGAAGTGTGCTTCGTATGTCCAGTCTACTCGGTACCGGTCCACGGCCTGATGGTTGGGGACCACTGATGTAGAGGACTGAGTTCAGGTGCTTTGCTCACCTGCAGCAGAGGCCTGGGCACTCTCCTGCAACAGTTGATTGAAGGTAAATGTGAGTTCATTCGTTCCTTGGACTTTGCAGTATTTACCTGTGATGTTAAAGTTATGTTGTTAGTAGTTTTACATCATAACTCTTGATAAGTTTAGATATTTTCTTTGTGAAACTGTAAATTTATATTTTCTGTTTATATAAAAAAAACCAGCATCAATTGTTGTCCACCTTCTTGGCCTAGACCCACTACTACCTGTACAGTATGAGCCTAAGAGACTGCAATAAATCATAATGGGATGGGATTGGACTTGGTGTCTCATTGTGCCTGACCACTCACCCAGTGCTCAAACATATTACCTGAAAACCAGCTTATCTCCTGGGAGCCAATCTTTACAACAATTACAAAAAGCATATTTCCTAATGTCATAATTTACACCTAAAAGCTCTTTCTTATCTTATATCACGGCTCTCTTTACTCACACTAGCTGCTAGGACAAAAACAAAGCTATGTAACTAAGCTAAGTAACCTGGGCATTTTGAGTACTTTAGGTTCTGAATCCTTTTGTGTTGAAGATAAATGAACTCTTTTTAAAAAGGGACAGAGCTGGGAGAATCCATTTTCAAATTACATTCTTTCAACTTGAAACCAAGCTAATAAACTGGAGACAAAACCTTTCAAGGGTAATACTGTACCCAGAAGCAAGGAGAAAGTAGCTCTAAGGTTTATAATTCCCATTTAATTTGAAAAGTACAATTCTTCATTTCATTTATCCTGTCTTAATACTTAGTTGTAATTGCTGAGCGACACCTTTGAACAAATGCAGAGAGCTTTTCAGCTTTCTCGTTCATTACCATTTGGTGAAGTACTTCCATCTCAGGCTGCCACTTCCTACTAGCAAATCATGCCAACAGCGTCATCGAGCTTTGCTGGCTCTCCCTTGTTGTTTGTTCCGTATTTGAAATGATGCCAAATTTCAGCAGTTACTTTTTTACAGGACTTTTTCCAACCCTCCCTTTTGAGCAGAAGCTGTCACGTGATGTGATTATCACGATGATTATCATGGCATCTGTTTTGACATGTTATTTGACAAATTACATTGCTTAGTAAATGTTGTCATCACTTTCATAAAGGCAGTCCTTTACATTTACATACATTTACTCATTTGGCAGACACTTTTATCCAAAGCGACATCAGTAAAGCTTCAGTGCAGTAGGAACCTTATTGTAAATATTAAATACTACATATATTTATTAAGTACAAGGAGAGTGTATTAAAGAAGTGCTTAGTAAGTGCAGAGTCCCACAGTGGAGAAATTTGCAATGTCATCAGCGAAGTGGACCGTACAAGAAAGAAGCTGCAAAAGGAAAGGTTGTAAAGGGCTTGTTTGCCCTATGTTCCCTCATAAATCATAAAAGGAAATACTGTTTATCAGGAGCAGGCAAAGCAGTCTTCCTTTGCATTGCATTATCATCCTCTTTAACTCCTGTACAGAAAACAGCCGTGGACAGCTGCGAAAGGGAGAACTATCCACAAACCTAAAATATACTGTAAGTATATCTACTTTGTTACTGTCCCCCCCTGTTAACGTTCATGGGAATGCTAACAACACTCGTGCCCCAACACAGTTACTTCAAGAGTTTATATCGGCTGGAAAGTGTAATGAGTTTGCTTCTTTTTCAGAAAATCAAAAACATTAGAGCAAGTATTAGCTCCACTCTGTCGAGCAATGACTTAACAAAACACAGATTTATATAGCTGTCTCACCTAGTGATTTCAGCTCCACTGACTCTCTGTGTCTGGTGCCTTGACAAAGTGAATGGCTGGATGCAACAAAACTTCCTGCAGTTAAATAAAGAGCAGATTGTTCTATCTGGTAACAAAGCAGGAAGGTTACAATTTAGTGTGTCTCATGTTAGAAATCTCAGTATAATTATGGATGAGGATCTTAGTGTCAGTGACCACATCAAAGACATAAATAAATCAGCATTTTGGCATCTTAAAAACAGCCAGGGTCAGAGACTGTGTCTGACCAAGACTGAGAAAAACTCACTCATGCCTTCATATCCTCCAGAGTCCATAACTGCGACACTCTCCTCACTGGTTTATCAAATAAAACCATTAGACAGCTACAGCTTATTCAGATGCTGCTGCTCAGGTTCTTACTCAAACTAAGAAAACAGAACGTTACTCCAGTTCTCAGCTCTGTGCTCTGGTTTCCAGTCAGATAGGGAGTTCAATTCAAAGTTGTACTTATTGTCTGTAAGTCACTAAATGGTCTGGGCCCTTAATATATTTCAGAAATGTTCCATGTTTATGAGCCAACAGGTCTCTCAGATCAGCAGGAGCTGGTCAGTTAGTGGAGCCTTGACTTAAAACTAAACAGGGTGACATGGCTTTCAGCCTCTATGCTGCCCCCTGCTGGAACCAGCCCCCCAATGGAGATCCAATCTGCCCCACCCTTTAGACAGATGCTGAAACTGCTGTGTTCTCCTCTGCCTTCATTTAATCTTTTAATCTCATTTTATCTCTTAGATATTATTGTTTTATACTGCTTTCTTGTTATGCTTTCTTATTTATGATTTCATTTCTGTTAAGCACATTGAATGACCTCTGTTTATGATAATGTGCTATACAAATACATTTGCCTAGAGTTGCATGAGAGTGATGTTAGTCTCACACTGGGCTCCCTTTCCCTCCTCCTCTCTCTTATAGTTGAATGGTTTCACTTCACAATCAGGAGGACCTCCACCTGTGCAGTAGTAGGCTTTGTAAAAACAGCCTGGTCAGGCAGTAGCTTGGAAGTAATCCAGAGAATAATGAGAGTTATGTTACGCTCCATTTCCAGGACCCACCTTTTCTGTGGTTGTGCCTCCCTTCTCATCATTTTGGGGTAAGACTTTCTCATTTTTTTTAACCACTCTGCTAATTATACTAAGATATATGTTAAAGGCTTTTACTTTTTTATATACATTTACATTTATTAATTTGGCAGAGGCTTTTATCCAAAGTAACTGACAATTGATGATGCTAGAAAATACATCAAATTACCAACAAGTGTGTGTTTTTTTTTTTTTATGAAACTGCATTATAATAAAGAAGTTAAGAAGTAAATATAGAAGTAACTTTTATAAAATTATAAACGAGTTTATAATTACCTGCAGCAAGGGCATTATGTTTGTTTGTTTGTTTGTTTGTCGAAATAACTGATGAACCTGATTTGCACCAAACTTGCTGGAGGGATGGGTGTGGACCAGGAACAAACCCATTCGATTTTGGATCAGATTCAGATCATTTACTATGAATTAGATTTTTTTTCTTTTCCTCTGAAGTCTGGTGCATGTTGTTTGACATGAGTGCTGTGTTGAAGTGTTAAAACTCTCCCAATGTTCAGAGAAGTGATTAAAAGAAAGGTCTGCCCCAACGTTTGAATGTGGTCCACTCCCCGTCCCTCCACCAAGTTTGCAGTATTCCCTAAACAAATGCTAAAACAGCCTATAAACAAATACAAGCACAAGCTTTGGCGTAATGCAACACGCAAAAAACTACCATGGAGATTTATGAGTGGTAGATGTTGATGCTGAAAAAACATCTGATCGTCTTCACTGGCTTTTTTGTTTTGGTCTTATAAGTCTTATAAAAAGAGGGATTTCATTAGATTACCTTGCTACTCAAGCACTTTACCTAACACAGTACAGGAGCAATGGATTCAAGTTGAAACTGTCTCTCCTCAAAACATTTTTTCTTATATATTTTCAAAGTTTAAAACTTTATATTAAGAAACCTGGAGAAAAATTAGGAGCATTTTGAGAGAGTTGATATCAGTCCCATAAAAACTTCCTGGAATAATCCTTGGATAGTTCTTCAAAAGTAAGATGGTCTACATTAATATTATAAACAATCAGTGGCGATTGCTCTAAGACTGCAGGGGAAGCTCAGCTTCCCCTAAAATGTCAACAGAATAAGTGGTCAAATATGTGCTGTTGTGTGAACATTTCATTGACTAAATATGCGCTAGAACAAGTTCATCTTTTGTTGAGAATCAGCTGCTTATCACAGGTAACCGACACGACTTCTTCTCGTTCATCCCCGCAGCGCCACAGCGCTTTACACAGTGTAGACGCCGAGCGTCTACTGACTTCACTGGGGAAGCAGTGAGTGGGTTGTTCCACTGCAGCCAAACTAGACGGTCATTGGATAAATGCTGGGCTTTGTCCCGCCCATCGGACGCTCAGCGTCTCTGGGGGTCTATGGGGCAGTTGGCTGGCCCGGACGCTCGGCTTCTGCATGATGATTGGATGATCTGTCTGAGGCTGAGTCCCTTTTTGATTGACAGCGAAATGAGCGAATCAGCGATCTTGAAGTATAAGCATCCACCGGAGCGTTTTTCTAGTTTTTCATTCCGTTGTTCGGAGTTGATCTGGAGAAGTTACTGATACCTCAGCCACTTTGTCTTTGTTAAAAACGACTAGCGTGGTGTTTGGCGACTCTCTTATGTCACTCTGCGAATTTACATATAAATAAACGGACACATTCTATGATGTAGGCTGAAAATGAGCTTCCCCTCCTTATAAGACCAGCAGCCGCCACTGCAAACAATGTATCCCTAACCTTTGATTTACATTCATTTGGAATAAATTAACAGTAAAGTTCAAAGACACGTAGCAGAAATCACATCCTGAGGTCACTTTGTCTGTAATCTAGATTACATTCTCAGCCATAAGATAATGTACAAAACCAACTGTACAAATGAGAAAATTAATAAATATACTTGAATTATGTTGAAGATTTTGTTTTGTTGAATTCAGAACATTGGTTATCAGAGGTATTGGGGATGAAATTTAACTTGAACCCATCAATCTGCATATTTCAAGATCTGTTCCAGGACACAGAGTTGGATTACTGTTTTTTTTTTAATCTGGCCCTTGGGAGTACAGGGAGTTTTCCCGGTGGGCCTGCTGTTGAAATCCGATAGTAAAACTATTACGCAGTAAAGGTACGGTCCATACAGGTTCAGGTAAGGTGAGGACTGTACTTGAGGAGAGCTAGATAGGTGTTTCTAGTTTGGAAAATGGACTTTAATGGCTCATTTTGTGAGACATTAAAACTCAGACCCCCGGAGAAAGCTTTCTTTTTGTTAGAACGAAGAACAGGTGGAGAGTAAAGCCACCAAGGACAAACAAGTGAGTGTAGGAATAAGGGACGTGACAACTGATTTAATAGAAGTTATAAGTTCTCTGTTCAGCAGTTGTACACAACAAAACGACAGTTGGTGTATGGAAGAAAGGGAAGGGCTGTAGGAGGGGAACAAATAACTCTAACCTATAAAACACACTCTGGACACCATCCATTTGACCAGTGGGAGGTAAGAAATCCTTTACCTATTGCCCAGACTCCAGAGGCACTGAACCAGTGTCTCGCTCGAGAAATCTAGTTTAGTAACTGAAGCTACTTAGAAAATGTAAAATAAAATAAAATATAAATAAAATATGATGTGATGATCAGGTGGTGCACACCTACTGAAGGGGGAGGTCACAGGTCAACGATCCACACTCAGTGTTTTAGCATTTAACATTTATCCAGATCCAGCATGAACCTGTTGTTCATTGCAGGTGTGTTTGATTTGGGACTTTTGGGCTGCAGGCAGTTTGTTGATTAAGTGACTGAGTGTGGATCTCATGGTCCTCTGTCCTCTCCTCTACACATCAACAAACATGGAGGTTTTGCTTAAATCACAAAGGGGAAATTTGATTCTTGTAGCTCATTAAAATGAATTAATCATTTGGATAATTTGAAGTGTGGTGAGGGAAATGTTGCATGGGTTAAATAAGCAATAGTGCCATATCAAATATGTGCTAAAATAAAGGAATTTAAAAAATAATGCATGAGCTAATGGAAGATAAATGGCATAATATATATAAAAAAATAAAATAAAAAAAAGTTTGAACTTTTGAATTTATGGAATGAAGTGATCTGTGGTGAAAAAACAGTTTCCCCTTTTCCCCCCAGACTGGAGCTTAAAGGAAAAGTGTAAAACTTTCTTTTTACAATTTTATGTATTTAACTGACAATGTTATTTATGGATTATGGATTTATGTATAGAACACAAATTATTTACAGTATATTGGTACAAAAATCACATCTATCAAATTATATTTTTTCTATTCTAATGACACCAAAATATTCTAATATCACCACTAAACCACAATAAACTGTAATATCAGTGTAGTTAAAATAATTCCTTCATTGTCCACTCCTCATGTCTCTGGTTAAAGCCGTGAACACACTGCCTCCGTTGCGTGTGCGTTGCGTGTGTATTACGTGTGCGTTGCAGATGACATTGCTGTTCTGCTGCAGAGAAGCATGTGTGTTCACACCGGCTGCGTATCTGCTGCTGCAGCTCTGTCTCTCTACATAGAGTTTACAGGTTACTGTAAATTCATTTCTGATTTATTTTTCGATAGAAAATGTCTTTAAAATGCGACTGTCTCCACATGCAGCTGCTAAAATGGTTAAAAATATATTTATATTTTATTGGTGTTCGTATCATATTAAGATTCAGCCTCGACAGAGACAACTGTCGAGGAAGGTGTTAGTTTGATGTGATGCTGCAGGTGCGACAGGTCTATTGTTGCTGGGAGATATGTGCGTAATGTGTGAAAAATAGGCGAGATATTCTAACCTGTTAACATGGGCATCAAAATGAAAACCAAGATGTTCCTTAACCATGACGCACACGCCACTCATCGAGTTTGCTCCTTGCTTAACTCATACGTCTTCGTATCCGTCTATCATGAACGTAAGGTGCTGGAACACTGATTGGCATTGATAAACTGTTAACTTATTTTACTGGGGTGTCTTCACAGAGTCATCTACATATACTCAGGATATCCAATCCCATCCACCAGGTGAGAGACAATGAAAGGTATTAATTAATCCTGTCACCACACAATTATTCCAAGTTTCATCCTGAAGCTATTTTCAAATGATTTCATTCTCCATTTCATTAATAATTATTGGGTGTTTTTCTTTTTCAGCTTTTGTGAGCCATGTGATAACAACCGTGAGCCAGAACTGAAGTTTGTAGAGATAGAAGGTTGCCCAGAAAAAGGCCGCTGGACGATCGGAGACCTAAAAATGCAAACTGGGTGAGAATCTATTCACTAACAGAGAGAAGTACTGTGACTCAAGTAATGGAGCTGTGTATTTTGTCCACCTCTGGTAATTACTGAGCACGCATGTATGTAATAATGACTACTGAGTACTCGTGGGTCGGAGCACTGATATGGCCCCATCACAAGCTGGCCTCTTGTTTTGTTGAGTTTATTGTTTACATTATGTATTTTCCGTGATCTTTTTGTGCTGTTAACCCCTGTATGCACCTCTGGCCAAATGAGCTTCCTCTGTTGAATGATGAAATAAAATGTGATTTGATTTTTTGCTTTTCTCTTTCAGACTGAAATACGAGCAGCCCAGCACACAGAAAGGGTAAGCTACTGAAAACATCTTATGCCTTTATTTTAGCAGCAGTGAGAGAGAGATCTGCACTTTGATCTGCACAGTGTGAATGAGGAAATGATGTGCCGAATCAGAAGCTTCTTAAATTGCGGCAGGAGGGGCGGAGACAGACAGACAGACAGACACTTGGTGGTTTGTTGGAAGAAAACCAGCTAGCGAACAGGTTAGCTTAACAGAGTAAGAGTTTCCCAGAACCTTTTCTGGAGTCCACCTTAAAACTCAGCCAGTTAAAGTGACCAGACTTTTTTCCTGTCTTTGTTTGTGGGAGAAAGGCCAAAGAGTGTGTCTGATAACCCAATTCATCCCTGCCTACATTTAGGCTTCAACAAAACGGGAGAGCGTCGGGAGATGACCTTGAAATACAGGAGACTTTATTAGCGGACAGAATAGCAAAGGGTTGATGGTCTGATGTAGTATCCTGCACGCTGGTTTACTCACCACTCTTTATAACTACTATAACTACTTATCAGTGGCACGTTGCCCCTTTACAACAGGGAACTGTCGTTTCTACGCTGAAGATTTTGTTCAATTAAACAAATGATATATATGATTATTAGCGTGCTTCACAGGTGCTGGTAGGCAGCTTTTGTTACTTTTCAGACAAATTGTAATTGAATCCACAATTATTTGTTCTCCCCAGACGCACTGATGTGAACGCAGTGACAAACTGGAACGCTCCTCTGGTCTGGGAGGGAACCTTTGACCCTGTGGTTATAGATGCAATCTATAAGAGGCTGGACCCAAGACTGGCTGTGGTGGTGCTCGCTGTTGGAAAGTAGGTACACAGGATATTATAGGAGTGAGGTTTGACCTGACCCACTGCTCGAAGCTGAGATCTAAAACCTTATGAACCTGAAAATGTAAAGCCACCTTATAAATCCTACTTAACATCTGTATTGTATTATTTGTCTTGTCTTCACTCAATCTGTACAGATACACCCGTTTCCTGAAAGGCTTTCTGGAGTCAGCTGAAAAGTACTTTCTTGTTGACTTCCGGGTCACTTACTACATCTTCACAGACAATAAACAAGATGTTCCCAAAGTGAGTTGTTGCTTGTTAATATGTATAAAAGTAGTTTTGGGCCTGGCACTGCTAAACGACTCAACATGTACCAGTAAATACTACAAAATAACATTTCTAGTCACTTTGTACGTTTATTTTGCTCTCAGTGTTTTCTAAGAGAGCGGGTCAGTCTAGCTCTGTTGTTACTGTAACCAACAGTGGTCCACTGTGCATTGACCTGGCTTGTGTTAATAATGTACAGTAGTTCTTCACTGCACTGCATGATTATACTTTTTCACAGCAGACATTTGCTTAACGGGAAAATCTGGTACCTGAAAAAACTTCTGATAAGATTAACATCTAACCCAGCATGCAAAGCAGAGGGTCAGATAGATCGTTAGTTACACCTCTGTACTGTACAGTAAGTGATAACTGATGATGATAGTTGACAGTAAGTCAATGTTGCTAAAAAATTACAATCAGAATTGATTTGATTTGTTTTATTTGTTCACCTGACTGATCAGATTGAACTGGGTACGGGCCGGAAGATCACAGTTCTCGATGTCCCTAGTGCCACCCGCTGGCAGGATGTGGTACTGAGCCGGATGAAATGGGCCACCATCGCCATCGACAACCAGGTAAGAAGTGAAATGTGGAGGCTGTATACAGCATGAGAGCTAGTGACACTAGTTAGTTATATTTAGTCATATAGTTTACTTTATCTAATCCAGTCTCTCCGTTATGCTTTTAGCCCCACATCTCATCTGTACGGTGGCCATGAAGTGCAAATCACAACGAAATATCAAAAACTGATTTGTCGTTGTGTTTTTTTTAGTTTGTCATGTTTTGTTATTGGTCGTTGTGATTTGCACTTCACGGCCATTGTACACCTGTCATGATTTCAGATCCGTAATGAAGCAGATTATCTTTTTATGATGGACGTCGACAGTGTCTTCCACAGCCGCTTCGGAGCAGAGTCCCTCAGCCCGCTATCTGCTGTGCTTCACCGTGGCTACTACAAGGTTTTAATCTTCCTCCTACAGTATTTATCTTCAGTTAATGGAAGTCTTCTTGTTTGTTTACTTTTGTTTTACCTTTGTGTTGAGCAGTTATTGTTGAACGATATTGCCTTGTTTAATCCATAATTTAATATTTTTCCCCTCAGACGACCAGGAATTATTTTCCATATGAGCGTCGGGGCACGTCCAAGGCGTACATCCCTCCTGATGAAGGAGACTACTATTACACTGCTGCTGTCTGGGGTGGATACCTGGAGGAAATGTACAAGCTAGTCAAGTAAGCAAAACCAAATTATCCCTCGAGTTATTTTCATGGTATCTCTAGTTAAAAGACAATGAATAATGGAAAGACACAGTAATGATAGGCCAGAGCAAGAGGGGACAATATGGTAAGATTTTAGATAGTGGAAGGGTAAAAACCTTTGTCTCAGAGTTCTACCTCTTTTATTTTATCAGGTACTGTTACGAACAGTCAGAGGAAGATGCCAAGAATAATATTGAAGCTGTGTGGCAGGAAGAGAGTCACCTCAACAGGTACAGTGTTATGGATTTCCACATAAGTTCCTTCATTTCTCTGTTGTTGTTGTTTCCCTGAACTCAACATGCAGCTAATAATTTGATTTTGTGTTCCTGGACATGAATTGTCCATGTTTTTTGTGACACAGCACAAAATGGAAACTAATTTTTGAATGAATGAAGCGCTACATTCATTAACGGCTGCAAAGTCAACAGAAGGCAGGTTGGCGTGGAATGTTTCACCTTTCAGACCAGAGGCCGAAATAAACATCCAGATTTTGATCTGTGGTCAGTAGAATGAAACAGTTTCATGGTAAATCACAGTAAAAATGCCAGATGGTTAGTATGACCATTTAAATTTTAACTATCATTATAACCATGGTTAATTACTGTGGTTCATTTAACTCTTGTTAGATACTGTAAGGCCACTGGATGCATTGCGTGTGCGTGGCGGCTGCAGAACGTCGCCACACATGTTAACAGGTTAGGGGAGACACACTACCTGTCTGACACGTCCCACACCTTGTTGCTGTGTCGTGTGATCTAGAGATTTGGCACCCCCCTATTTTCCACATGCAACCCACGTGTTGCAGCAAAAATAGACAGAGGAAAGACCTGTTGATGTGTTTGCGTGGCAGCTGTGTCGCTGAACCGTCTACATGGAGTTTCAGGTTACTTGAATGTTGGATTTCTTTTCATTTTAAATAAATTTCTGATTTATTTTGACTGAAAACATCACTAAAATGTCTCTGTCTCCACATGCAGCTGCCAAAATTGTTGAAAATATATATTTATATTTTTTGTGTCTGTATCGTATTCAGTTTTATGTGATGTTGCTGGTATGTATATAATATGACATCAACAGGTCTTTTCTCTGTCTTTTTTTTTATGGGAGATGCGTGTGTCACACCTTAAAAATAGGCAGGACACCCAAACTCTAGATCAGGCGATGCAAGGTGTGACATCTGTTTTAACAATGTAGTGATTATACTCATAACCGTGATAATTTTGGTCACTGTTATCATGACATTAAATTTTTGTACCAATTCATCTCCAGCGGTCGATTTAGGCAAGAAAAGCACTGTGGGTGAGGTTAGTGAAAGTTGGTGTTTTAGGATAAATATAAATAAACACGTTGTGTCTGCAGTTACTGTGAACTTTCTCTGTTTCAAAGCAGACCATGATCTTTCTCTAACATTAACCAAGTGCTGTGAGAGTCTAAACAGAACCATTAAAAAGTTAAATAATGCTGGATTCACTAAAATTAGATATTTTCTGTCTAAAAAACAAAAGAAAAATCCTGTAAATGTAGAAGAATCACAACATTAAGTTGCATCGATTGTCAAGAAAAAAAAAGACAATTCATGCTCATGTAACAAAATCAATAGTTTACATGTTGTGTACCTGCACACAATCGGGAACTGACGTGGGACTGGGTTGTATTCAAATTGTGATTTTATGTTTATTTACAGTATTTTCTGTCTCTGTCACACAGGTACCTGTTGTACAACAAACCAACCAAGGTGCTGTCTCCAGAGTACTTGTGGTCAGATTACGATCAGGTACCAGCGGACATCAGAGTGGTCAGGATCTCCCAGCTGGTTAAGAACTACGCAGAGGTGCGGCCCAATGGTGGACAGTGACGCAGAGTCAATTCAATATCCAGGACATAATAAAAATATGATCATTGGGAGAGCTGGTATGGGTTGCTTTCCTCTGTAAAGTTCACGGATGATACAATGGTGTGTCGTAATGTATTGAAGGGTTGCACCTAAATTTTCTGAATTATCTCAGGGATTTATATTTGCTTCTTATTGTGTTGATTTTCTTTTCATTTAAGTATTTTGTTTTGTGCATTGTGTTCTATAAAGTGGGAATGTAATCATATTAGACGCTGAATGTAATGACACAAGGGTCAGATACTGTTTCTCTGCTTTAAAAATGAATAATTGTTTACTTTTACCTTAATCAGGGCTCAGAACTAGATTTACTAAGATATGTTGTATTCCCCAAAACCAAATAATAATAATAATATAATATAATAATACCATTTTCTTTTTTCTTGTGTTATCTCCATTGTATTGATGTAAATGTTTTAAGCTTTCATGTCAAAATAAAAAAAATGCTTGTAACAGCCATTTGTTTATGTGTGTGTTTATTATTTGTTGTTGTAAACATTGTTGGTACTGGGGGTGGCGCTGTGGGAACTTCCTGTGGGAAGTTCATTTATACATCCAGGCTAATGAGGCCAGGTGTGCGTGAACCGAGGCAAACAGTTTTTGACCGTGGCTGAGGCACGGCTGAGGTCTGGATATAGGAGCAGTATTAAATAATAGGCTACCGGATTGCCAAACGGATGTGCTGTCCCTTATTGTGCTTATGTGTGGAAGCAATAAATAGAGCAAAGCAATGGGAATTGTTTGGACAATGTTTATTGGGAGCCAAGCCCAGCGCGCGTCAATTAATTGCACCGGCACGCACCTGCAGTAAGTGACAGTGGAAAGACACTTACAATGCTAAAAGTGTAAAATAGATAATAAAGAAATATCAGCATTTCACAGCAGATGAGATGCAACAGAAGGGCGTATGTAAGGAGAAGAACAGGAGAGACAATGATACCATGGATTATTAAAACCCACAGTCAAACATGGGAATATTCCTGCACCAAACTGACGTCACCCTGACTGAGGAGAGGCACCACTGCATCCCTCAGAGAAATGCTACACCTTCTGGTTTGCATCTTTGTGGAGGAGGATTCGTACTGCGGCAGGACAGTGACCCAAACACACCTCAAAGCTTTGCAAGAACTACACGAACACCAGAGATCTTTGATAATCAGCTCAGCCTGAATAAGCATGTAAATACAGTTGTCCAATCCTGTTTCTTACAGCTCAGGAGAATCTCCAATATCAGAGTTATTTTATCCCACAAGAATCTTAAGACTGTCATTCATGCTTTTATATCCTCTCGTTTGGACTACTGCAACTCCCTTTGTAAATGTTTGAACAAACAGAGTTTACATAAATTACAGCTAGTCCAAAATGCAGCAGCCAGACTTATAACCAAAAATAATAGAAGACAGAGCATATTACTCCTATTTTAGCATCTCTTCATTGGCTTCCAGTAAATTTTACAATTGATTTGAAGGTTTTATTAATGGCTTTTAAAGCTCTGTCTGTACTAGCACCTGAGTACATCTCAGGACTTACTGACACCTTCTGTGCCCAGTCACAACCTGAGGTCCTCAGCCAAAGCTCTATTAGCTATCCCACAATCTCAGCTGAGGATCAAGGGTGACCGAGCTTTCTCTGTTCAAGCCCCCACCCTCTGGAACAACCTCCCGGAGGAGATAAGATTGGGAAGCTCCTAAGCCTCTTAAATCCCTTTTAGAGACATATTTTATAGGTGTGCTTTTTCGGGGCTTGGGGTCTAATTCTACTAATGTTTTAAATCTGTTATATTAAGTCTTATTGATTAATTTAATTATTTTACACAGTTTTATCTCATTTTTACTGAACCTCATTGTCACTTTTCCTCCCCCCAATGTTATAACAATTTTAAACTTGTTTTTATCATTCATTCTTTAGTGTTCGTCCTCAATTTTTTCTTGTCTTGTAAAGCACTTTGTTCAAGTGCTATAAAAATAAAGCTGGTTATTATTATTATGAAGAGTCCTGACTGTCACAGACTTCCCTCCACAGTCACATGACCTATGCCCCACTGAACATTTTAAGTAAATACTACAATTCTGAAAATCATGTAAATTTTTCAAAGATTAAACTTTTTATTCAGATTGTTTAAATGATAATCATTTGTAATGAAATGTCTTCACGTGTGGTCTCAGATTTATGGACCCCCACTTTTTGAATGCATAGCTCCACTCCACTACACTTTTTCAGTATAATAATTTTTGGATGCACCATGTGATAAATCTAAAGCTGTTCTGTTTTCCATAGGCTTGCATATACATTTGCATATTCATTTCCATACAGTGATCTGTTGAGAGGTTGAAATGTACACAGTATAATGAACACCAATGCAATGTTGAAAAAGAATATAATTATTTTTCCAGCATGTTACTGTTGTAACTGGAGTGCAGAGTTGTGTACATTTTTTACTCTATATTTTTTGCAGTTCTTTTTCTAAAGTCAGTCAGGTTTTTACCAAACATCAAAATGTTTGGCGTCTAAGTCTTGAACCTCTGGTGAAAAGGTTTAATTCATTAGTGACAATGTTTAAGTGATTGACTGACTGCATGTGTTGACATGTGTGAACAAGGTCTTATTTGTTTTAGACTGTGCACAGGTGATTTAGTTTTCTGAGAAATGCATTACCTGTTTGAGAACTGCATTAAGAGTTGTGACAATTATGTTTTTGAATTTGCACCAAAGCGTTTGAGAAAAACCGTTAAAGATAAAGTTCTCTGTTTGTCTCCCTCTCTCTGTTAGAAGCTTTCATATAAACCCGTGTGCGCCTCCTGGTGCCAAGTTTGTACTCTCACTGATGTATTAAGTGTGTACAGTATTTTTACGACAGTACCTGTGTCTTTACGGTTGCCATACCCAAACAACATGGCAGCAGCAGAGCAGCGTACCGGTCCCGGTCGTGAGGAGGTTTTGATGGAAAACCAGGAGGGTTCAGCGGCGGGGAAAGACAGCGGGACACCGGGGGCTGCTCCCCGGGACAAACCCGTGTGTCTGATCGTGCTGGGGATGGCGGGGTCCGGGAAAACCACCTTCGTTCAGGTTAGTTAGCGTGTGTGGCTAACGGCGGCTAGCTGCATGAGTTAGCTTCTTCGGGTAACAGGTGACGAGCTGAAAGAGGAAAACGTTTTAAAAGATGTTAAAAACTAACACTTCTTCTTGGACATCACTTGGGAACAGGAAATGGCGGGGTTTTTTCACTCTAATACATTCCCGTGTTCGTTAGTTCCCACCGTTAGCTGTCGCTGTAGGCTAATATTAGCGGCAATAAACACGGTTTGGACATTTCATATGTCTGTATTAATCAGAGCATTTGAAGTTTTTACAGACTAGTTTCACATTTACACGTCTCGTAGGATTTACAACACTTACCGCGGCTTGTTATTCACCTGAGGCCTGTACCGCGAAGCAGGGTTTGAGGTTACCGAGATGACTTCAGGTTTGACTGTGGGTTTTCAGTCCCACGACGGTTGCTCATTTGTTAGCGAGGTAAATCACCATGGTAACTCAACGCTGAACTCCTGACCTGCTCCGGAGCAGGTTAACTTCAGAGGATCAAAACTACGGACCAATCAGATCACTGGAACTGGAGTAATCATTTCTACAGGATCCTGACAGGGACAAAAGAGTTAACAATTACGTTATTAGATAATAAAGTCCAGTAGATATTTTAATAAATGGTTCGAATGGTTTTGGTTTTGAAAACAGAGCTGCTAACAAACAGAGGAGAGTTTATCACATTAAATAAATATATTAGTATTATACCTTCATTTGAACTGAACACAGATTCTCTGCTACTCTTCTCTTAGCTCTGACAGGAGGAGACTTTATGACCATAACTGGAAGATAAAACTAAATCTTCTGATGACTTTGATTAGAGAAAGAATCCACACACTGTTAAATATTTCTATGATTTATAGAAACTGGTAACTCGTGTCCATAACAGTTTGTTCATTATCAGACAAAAGAGTGAAAATACTCAGTAAGAAATGCACTTACTTACAGTTTATCCATAGACTGATTTTAATTTGAAGCTATTCCTACTGTTTCTTTTTTATTCAAAAAAGAAATGTGATCATGTTGTTTACACCATGTTGAATATTTTGGATGTGGCTATGATGAAATCTATCTGGCTTTTAAAAGAATTATTCTGTTTTCTTTCTATGCTTTTTACTGTTTAAAGCACTGTTAAAGCACATCAGATGACCTTTGTGTATTTAAATACCTCACTTATGTGTCCAACCGTTCACCATGATCTGGCAGTAATGCACCTGTAAACAAACATGAAGTTAAAATTAAAGACATGTTGAATTTAGACAGACAAAGACAAAAATCTTCCCCTCCTGACGAGGCCTGTAAGGATTGTGTCATATAAAACACAGCATTATTCCTGCTGTGAAACCTTAATTAACCAGATCCTAAATAAAATCACGTCTGTTTTATGTAAAGGAGCTCTCTGTTCTGATCTGAGTGTTTGTGTTTTCTCCAGAGGCTGACGGCTCACCTTCACACTCTGAAAGCTCCTCCATACGTCATCAACCTGGACCCTGCCGTCCACGAAGTCCCCTTCCCTGCAAACATTGGTGAGGAGCAGTCTATTTCCTGGACACACAGAACATATTCTTAACAGTGCTGTTGTAGAGAATTGCTCTGTTGTTTTTGTCTTCCCCTCAGACATCAGGGACACTGTGAACTACAAGGAAGTGATGAAGCAGTACGGTCTCGGACCGAACGGCGGCATCGTGACGTCACTCAACCTGTTCGCCACACGCTTCGATCAGGTGACTCGATCAACGCTCTGAATGAACTAAACCAAAGCTGTGAACTCTTTCACCTTAAAATACAGCTCTGACAGATCTGAGGCAAATGTCCAGACTGTTAAAATGATCCACAAGTTTGGTTTAAACTGCCACAAAGTTTATTTTAGTTTAAAGATCTGAACATTATAATCTAGTCAAGAACTGAGGAGTTTAATCTAGAACTATAGACGTTTAAAACCACAGCGCTGAACGGTTGTTTGGACATACAGGTCTGTATGTTGATGTCAGCATTGTTCCATCTTTTAGAATAGCTATTACATTTAGCTATTACACTTTTGACAAACATCACACTGGACTGATTTGAAGAAGACAGTTGGACGAGCTGCTCCTCCTGTCAGGATGTGGCTCCTGACAGGAGGAGCTGCCAGTTCACAGAAAAGCAGGAGATCATCTGGGCTGAAATTATTACCTTTGTAGGGGGGTTGACAATGACCCCCATGCTCTGGACTGGATTAAAATCTCTGACAATCATCCTGCAGACAGAAATCCAGTCTGGATGGGACATGAGACAATAATCTCTGATCTCCTCTGGAACTGAATGAAACAGTTTTGGTTTTAGTTTCCAGATGCAAAGAGTCTGATGAAATCATCACAAACAACAGACTGAACAAACTGAGATTGTATAACAGGTGTGTCTGTGTGTGTTCTCCAGGTGATGCAGTTCATAGAGAAGAAGCAGCAGAATCACAGGTCAGTATCAGCCTGTGTGTCTCTGTACAGCTGAGTGTGTTCGGGTAGGACCGAAGATGTGTCCTCACCCTCATCCTCAGTCTAATGTGCAGGAGCAGCAGCTGATTGGTCTTAAATTCCAGCAGCAAAACAACTTGCTGCATTTCTTTCTTTTTTTTTAACGTAAACCAATGACAGATCGCCACATTTTCAATAAGTGTTATCTTTTCAAATATGAGTGATTTTGTGTTTTCTTGATTCACCATCAGTAGACGAGGAAATGACAAAAGTGGGCTGCCACATTTACAGAAAAATCCAGTTTGCATTATAAGAATATGACTGAGCACAGTTCTCTAAACCTCAAAGTGAAATAGGAATCCACAAACTCCAGGACATCGAGGGAAGTGTTTACATCACACTTCACTGTAAATCTGAACAGCTTCAAACTCGGCAGCAGCGTTTGAAATCCTACAGACACATGGCTGTTAACCACTCCCACATCCTCTGCTCTAACCGGAAGAGAGATGTTGGTGTATGAGAGCAGGATACCTCATAAAGTTTGTCTCTCTTGTGTATTGGTGTGTCTGATGACCTTTGACCTCTGCAGGTACGTGCTGATTGACACCCCAGGTCAGATTGAGGTCTTCACCTGGTCAGCGTCTGGAACCATTATCACAGAGGCTCTGGTAGGTCTGAACACCGCGTCTCTGTTTATGTTTCTTTGCTGATGCTATTACACTCTGTTTATTGTGTGTGTGTGTGTGTGTGTGTGTGTGTGTGTGTGTGTGTGTGTGTGTGTGTGTGTGTGTGTTTCAGGCCTCCTCCTTCCCCTGTGTCGTGATTTATGTGATGGACACGTCCCGCAGCGTCAGCCCCGTCACGTTCATGTCCAACATGCTCTACGCCTGCAGGTACCACACTGAACTCATCACCCTCAGTACAGCAGTGTGGTCTGTCAGTAATGACATCACTGCTCATCAACATGACATCACAGTGACATCACTACAGAGACGTGAGACGAGTCCAAACACCTCAATAGTTGTGAATCAAGATTCAGAAAGCTACAGCTGTTATTCTAATGTGTCAGACACACGTAGACTGTAGGAGCTATTTACTAGTTTGTTTTTCTTTTATTTATTCATGTTTTTTGGAATACTTCAGTTATTTTGGTTTATTTTTTGATAATATTCTCTTTTGTTAGTCGTTAGTTTCTTCATATTATTTCCTTATCTGGAAAAGTTAGTTTGGTTTACTAGTATTTTGTTTATTTTGGGAAACGCTATGGGCACATGAGGTTATTTAGGTAGGTGGACTGGTTTAGGACCAGCATGCACCTGGGTGGGCCTGTGTTCCTTGGTTTGCTGCTTGTTTGGATGAATAAATCCAAAAGAAAATGCAGATATATTTGGACAATATATTATTTTGCCTGCGTAAACTACATCCCCCATGATGCATCAGTGGCCTTTTGATTTTTATGTTGGACTTCAATTTATTTGAAAGACAAATAGCCGCTTCATGGACAAATGTCTCACTGTTTCCTGTGAGTCTCAGCTGCTGTTTCTCTCCCGCAGTATTCTCTATAAGACCAAGCTGCCCTTCATCGTCGTCATGAACAAGGTGAGGTCACTTCCTGTCAGCCGCGTGACTTTATTCTGCTGTTGAGTCATGATCACCTGTTGGCTCATCGTTGACTTGTTGTTGTTGTTGTTGTTGTTGTTGTTTGTGCAGACCGACATCATCGACCACAGCTTCGCAGTGGAGTGGATGAAGGACTTTGAGGTTTTCCAGGACGCCCTGAACCAGGAAACCTCGTATGTGAGCAACCTGACGCGCTCGATGAGTCTAGTCCTGGACGAGTTCTACACCAGCCTGAGGGTAAGAGGAGTGGCACAGACCTGAGACCTGTACCAGATGAATATGGGTTTAACTATGTAAATAAATAACTATTTATATTTAATACATAAAATAGAAGTGACACGAAGTCAAGTGTAAACAGCTGAGGAGCTGCTTTAAAGGCGTGTAACTGACGTACTGACTTGATATAACAAAGCTGGCTCATAACCAGGGTAGATCACTACGGTAACCATGGTAACCTGCATTAGAATCATGAGTAGAACCCATCAGATCTGTCCTGACACTGTCGTCTGTGTTTCTGCAGGTGGTGGGCGTGTCCGCAGTCACAGGAAGCGGATTGGACGAGCTCTTCGTTCAGGTGGAGGATGCAGCCAAGGAGTATGAGAGGTCAGTGGGCGGGGTTAAAGCTCACGCTCGTCACTGTTGAGCTGTGTGGTGAATGGTTGAGAGGTAGGATCCTCTCTGTGGGTGTGAAAGGTCGTGGGTTCAAATCCAGACTGGGACAAAACAATAAAGTAGCAGCAACTAAAGACGAGCTGCAGCAAAATTTAGGATCTGCTACGACCCGCCTTTACTAGATCATTATCAGAGCATCAAAACAACATGTTGGCCGCGTGCAGCTTCTACAAAGACTGATATAACGTATGCCATCCGCAGTGTGTGACTAATGATCGGTATCGGCAGCATCACTAATCTCTGCAAACCAACCAATCTGCACACAAACCAAACGATGGAGAAGAAAGTAAAAAACCTTGGAGCAGCAGAGTCATGAGACAAGCTGAAGACGTGTCTCTGCTCTTTTCCTTTCATTCATCACTCGTTTATCACAGAATCCGACTCACACTCTGGAGGTTGATGAAAACGACGGTGTGTCGGTGTGTCAGAGTTTCTCTTCTCGTCTGTCGCCTGCTTCATGTTTGCTTTTCTTGTCACGGAGGAAAATTAAACTGAACTCTTCTTCTTCTCCTTCCTCAGAGACTATCGACCCGAGTATGAACGACTCCGCAAACAGCTGGTGAGTGTGTTTCTGTCAGTGTGTGTTTTCTGTCTTTTCTCTCCATGTTTTCACTGACCTCCTGTCCATCAGGCGGAGGCTCAGAGCAAGAAGCAGCAGGAGCAGATAGAGCGTCTCAGGAAGGACCTCGGAGCTGTGGACATGACAAAAACACCTGCGACAGGTACGGCCGACAGATACTCACAACATAAAATAAAAGGGCTAAAACTAAGTGATTTATTGGTAATAAGAAATATAGTTTTTACTTTAAAAGGAAGTGTCCGTCTGCTCCGAAGTTATTACCAAATGACATAGTTCATCCCAAAAAGTTTTCTCTGAGGTTATTAAAGAAATTACTTATAAAATAAAATGTGAAATATTTGTTGTGGCAGTAGCAGCTCGCAGCCACCAGGAGGCGCCAAATCCCAATTACATTTTATATTTCAGACTTTTCTTCATTTACTTTTTTCACACAAAGGACGAGGAGGGTGAAGAACAGATGTTATTACAACATTCATTTTCTTATGTACCAGTCATTTTAATAAGTTAATTACTAATTAAAATGACTCTAAATCCTTATTTTAACACTGTTAATGAATCATTTAGGTGTCAAAAAAATTCATTTTTATATCATTGAATATCAGCTGAAACCTTATATCGTCTTGTATTCGGTCCAGTAACTGTTGAAAGTTGTTTTTAAACAGGTGGTTCCAGCTCGTGAGGGTTTGAGGTTTTTTTTAAGTATATTTTTTGGGCTTTTTTATGCCTTTATTTGATAGCACAGTAGAGAGACAGGGAATGGGGAGGCAGAGAGAGGAGGAATGACATGCAGCAAAGGCCGTCCGATGGGGCCGACTGCAGCGAGGACTGTAGCCTCTACACATGGGGCGCCTGCTTAGACCACTACGCCACTCGACGCCCCGAAAATAGACATTTTTGACCATATTTTCTGACTCTGTGTAAACCAAGTGATCAATACATTAAATGAGAAAGTAATTAACTGATGGTTCAGTGGAGGAAGTCACTATCACCTGAAGGTAACCGTAGGCTGGGATTACTGTGGTGTCGGCAGCTCAGATTAATGGATCCGTCACACCTGAACTACGACGAGCCGTCAGATCAGATCTGTGCGTCTCTTCTGAGAGCTCACTTTATCGTTGTAATTGGCTGATTGACTTCCTGTCCACAGAGGACGTTGACATCGCCGGACCCAGTGACCTCATCATGACACGTGGTAACCCTGACGACTGCGAGGAAGAGGGGGAGGAAAGTGACACGGACGACATCGACCACGGCGGTGAGAAAAAATAAAACACAGATGTACAAAATGCAGCAACTAAATATTTGATCAAAATAAAATGTATCTGATTTTTAAATATATTATGTCATAGAAATGTGTAATTTAATCTCTTTAAACTACAGAACATCTCTGCTGTAGCCAGTCAGAGGGATTGATTGATTGATTGATTGATTGATTGATTGATTGATCTAGTTATCTGTAAATGAAAAATATCCACATAACTAAAAAAGGCAGCAGCTCAGTCAGTTCATGTTGGAGAAGAAAACTTTTTGTGATTTGGTGGTTAAACTGCTTTAAATCACAAACGTAACTGTATGAAAGTGTCATATTGATTTCAATAGAAATTATGGGCTGTAAATAATAATCAAACTAAAACTAATCAGCTTTAAGAAAATAAATGAAATGATTACAACTTTTCTATCTTACTGAAAACTTTAAACTCAGCTGCAGTGTTTCTGTAGTTCCTGCTCTCTGCCTGTAGAGGGCAGTGTACGCCGTTAAACACAGAAACCTCAGTCACATGAATAAACAAGAAATAAAAGTTAAGAACAGAAACCAGGTTCATGTTTGAGTTTGATGAACGTCAGACGACAGACTCGTTTGTTCTCCATGTTTCAGTCACGGAGGAAAGCAAAGAGAGCGACGCCTTCGGAAACTTCCTGAAGGAGAGGAAGGAAGTCGTTCAGGTCCGAAACAGGAAGTTTGCGCCGCCTGAGGGACCCTGACCTCTGACCTCTACAACTTGACATCTGACTCTGCCAGGATACGAGGACCGTGACAGGAGGCAGGTGAGGGAACAGATTCCCTCTCTGGGGTACGGACTATTACCTGGAACAGATGCTGTGGACGTGAAGCAGATTCTTCAATCACTGGTGTTTTATCTTCAGAATATCTGACCTGCACTTCCTGTCTGATCATGTGACCTCTGACCCCGTGCTTGGCTGCTCCTCCGTGTCGCTTCTTCCTTTAAAAGTTATATTTTTATATCAGAACAGACTCTATTCTATTCTTGTTGACTTTTGTTTGTAAAAGCTCTGAAAGGATCAAATAAAAGTGAGTGTTTCATTCAATGCTGGTTTTTTAATTTGACGACTGTGGCATTTTCCACCATGAGACTCCAGACCAGCTCCAGGTCTGGACTCTGCTGGAGGGATGAACAGCTTCCGTCCGAAACATAGAGACTTGATCCTAATGATCGATGTTTGAACTGAAGGCTAAAATAAACCTGATCAAAATCTGATCCTTTCTTTACTGAACTCTGTTCTTCTTCAGTTTCTACACCGTGAACATTTTGCTGCATGAGAGTGAAGAGAGGGTGTGAAGGTGAGAATTTATTTGGTCGCACCAGAGTTTGTCAAAATAGATTCACTAAACTCCAAAGACAACGAAGCTGTGATCTCCTCTCCTCTTACAGGGTATCTGTGAGTCTTGATTTCAGTTTCCTCACAAAACTGCTGAAAGACTTTTTAAAGTTATTGAAAAGTCTTGAATAGCTTTTCTAGCCTTTTCTGTCGGCGGGAATCTTAGTTCTAAAATGTTTTGGTACGTCAAATGAATAGGTAATTTTTGAATTGGTTCATCCATCCAGTCATTTATCCGTCGGTTTCAGCTGCTTGTCCAGGTCGTGTGTCATGATTAATTAAGAGAAACAAACATAATTGTTCATAAATAATTCTCATCTCTTTCACTGGGCTGAACATAAAAAGTTATTAAAAACTTTTCAGGTTTTAAATAACCAATTAATATTAATTGTCGATTATTTGGCTCCACTCTGTAACATCTTCTGAAACTGCAGCAGAGTGAGACGTCGTCTCTCTAGTTGAACATGTCACAGCAACTTCACAAGTTTCTTTTTCCCTCTAAATCACATCAACACTTGATGTTGATGTGATTTGTCGTTTTTTGGATCAAAGAGCTCGTGAAAAATAAATTAGTAAATAAAATGTAAATAAGAAAAAGACTCAGTATCAGTGAATCCTCAGTACTAAAGGACTCAGGATGTTAGTCTGAAAAACTGGATCAGGATTGATATAAAGATGGATGACATCACAGCTCCAAAACATCTCTGCCGCCCCCTGGTGGCTGGCGGCAGTATAGCTCATAAGCCCCACCCCCTTCATGTTAATGGATTCAGAGTCATTTCAGGTCGTTCTGTAAAGCTGTGAAACAGGAGCGTAACATCATGACTGACAGCTGTGAATGACTCCCAGTTGGGTCGAGCAGGTGTATGGGCGGGACCTTCATGCTATGGCTCCACCCCCCCCAACATCACTGCACAGAATCTGACCCAAAAAGACGTCGCTAGCACAACATGGCGGCGCTCATATCTGGGATATTCCGACACAGTCCCGACGCAAGAACAATCTCTACCATTGGTCCATTAGTTCTGGAGCTTTTGACAGTATCACAGTCTTCCTCAACAGAGTTATGGATCTTTAAATTTGATCTTTTCAGAGCTTCAGATCTTCTGCTTCAAGTTTTAGATTTAGAGAGTTGGTCCTTCACCGTCAGGCCTGAGGAGTTGGAGCAGGTAGACGAAGATAAACAAAGATGGCTGGTTAAGGAGATTCGCACACACTGTTCACTTTGTTAAATGTACATTGATTGAGCTGCAGCTGCTGCTTCTCTTCTTCTCTGGTGTTTTTCTGGTAGAACTGATCAGTGTTGTGTTGATCTGTGATTCTCTCCTCACACAGAAGCTGTGCTTTTCTTTCAGCAGCGCTCCATTGTCTTCATTCATTCTGAGCTCCGTGAATGAATTCACGTCCCCCGCCTGCCGACCATCTGCCAACACTGTGCCAACACTGTGCCAACACTGGGCTGTGTTCTGGTCGCCTACACGCTCGCTGAAATCCGGCAGCGTGGTCGGAGCGAGCGGCAGATGAGTCACTTTCCACTCGCTTCATTCAGTGTGTTGATGAGAAGAGAAACTTTCAGAAGATAATTGAACGTTTGACATGAAGCTCAGGGTGATGAGTTCAGGAGACAACAACAACACCTCCGTGCACAAACAGGTTCCTCAGCTTCAGCGCCTGAAACTCTCAACTCTGTTTCAGATCAGGTGAGTGATCACGCACCAAGTGTAAGTGCTGGTGGGTTCAGTGTTTCTTCACTGATTATTGTCACAAACTGGATGAATGTGACGATAAAAGAGATAAAACAAAGTTCTGCTAAAAAACGAGATGTATTAAGTGGAGGCGGGAATCAGGCACGTGGTGTATGTGTGAACGGGAACCACATGGCTGTCAGCAGGTGGGAGGGAGAGAACAGGTGAGCACAGGGGTCGGCTTTTATACTCCAGGAGGCCCAGGTGAACAGGTGAACAGCATCAGCTGATGACCCCCCCCCCCCCCCCATGCCAACCAGCTGCCTGCTGATGTGCAGGAGGGCAACGATGGGAGGGGCGTCACATCATATGAAACAACATGGAGACACTCAGCTTACACAAATGAGAGTTTGGAATCATGGAGATGTAGATAATGAAGACGAGAGTCTGACTTCACTCTGCAGTAAATCCAACATCTACACAGGTTTGAGTTTTATTCTAACAAGTATTAAATATTTTCCAGTTAAATCATCAGAAATACACAAACGAGTACTCGCATTAAATCCATACATTACCCAAACTGCTGATCCTTATCGCATGTAGTTACACCCTGAACAGGTCACCTGACACGACAAACAACTTCTCATTATTATTATTATTATCATTATTATTTAATTCGTTTTTATAATCATATGATAGATGTATGATATTTTGGGTTTTTTTTTCATATTTATTGATGCTTTTATTTGACAGGGAAAGTGGAGAGAGACAGGAAATACAGGAGAGAGAGTGGGAGAGAGACATGCAGTAAAGGATCCGGCCGGCTGGGAGTCGAACCCGGGACCTGCTGCTCAGGGCTCAGTACGCACATATGGTATGTGCCCATCAGGACGCCCCCTACAGGCCACTTAGATTTGCCAATTAACCCGGAGGGAGAACATGAGAACTGCACACAGAAAGGCTCCAGCTGTCCCGCAGGTTCCAACACAGAACCTTCCTGTTGTGAGGAGACAGGGATTAACACTGGCCCACCGTGCCAAAACACACATGTCCAAACACAATGATTGCTCTTGTGATGGTTGAACACTTGATGTTGTAGCTGCTGCAGCTGGACCTGGATCACCTGGTTCCCCTGGATCACCTGGATGTTCAGACTTCACCTCCCAGAGTTCAGCGGGAGAGAGAGCAGAACCGAGGCTGAATAAACACCAGGAGCAGTTTAATGATTTATGCCTCTGTCCCTGACGAACGCTCACATGCTGTTGCAGATGTTGGAGTGTCGTCTTTAAACACGAGTCACACAAAATGTTGAAGTTTCAGTTTTAGACTCAAATTCTCACAAAGAAAAATGAAAACAGCTGATCTGAGCTGAAGACTGCACGAGAGGAAAGTCCTGAAAAACAAGGAGGACTGGAGGAAACCAAGGCTCAGAGGGCTGTCCATCTGTCTCTCTGTCTGTCTCTCTGTCTCTCTCTCTCTCTTTCTCTCTCTCTCTCTCTCTGTCTCTCTCTCTCTCTCTCTCTCTCTCTCTCTCTCTCTGTCTGTATCTCTCTTTCTCTCTCTCTCTCTCTCTCTCTCCATCAGGTGAGTTTCTAGAAGCCTCCCCCAGCAGCAGCAGCAGCAGTGACTCACCTCCGCTGACATTCAGCCCACACTGTTGTCTGTTCTCTCTCCTCCTCTGCCTGCAGCTCGCTCACCCCTCCCCCCTCTCCCTCTCTCTCCCTCTCTCTCTCCCCTCCTCCGCAGTGGGCTTCAGACAGAACCAGAAACAGAAACGCTGAGAGTCACGACGCCTCGCCGACACAAATAAAACACACGACTGCTGGCTGAGAGTCAGGCTGCTCATTCATACTGGAGCAGGACACACACACACACACACACACACACACACACACACACACACACACACACACACTCTCTCTCTCTGGTGAACTGGTTTCAGCTGGTTTGAACTGGCAGACACCGACATGAATCCTCTGGAGCAGTGAAACTCTCACACCTGAAGATGCTCTGGATGAAAGCTCCAGTAGAGCGGGCAGTGTCCTGCTCAAGGGCCCCTCAGCGGTGGTGCTGAGTCCGATTTCCCTCCAGGTGAAGCTCATCTCCGGCAGGTGAACAGAGGCAGCGCCGTCTTTAGAGCGGAGGAGAAAACACTGAGTCAGTGAAAGTAATAAACACCTCGATGTAGAAATCCTCTGTTCCAAGTTAAAGTCAAAAATTAAACATAAAGAACCAAAAGTAAAAGAGCTGAAACTAAAGCATGAATGTGTTTGTCTCTTTATTACCTGCATTTATCTATAAATTCATCTTAACATATGAAAATATAATAAATGTTTTAACTAAAACAAAGAAAGTCCGCCCACTGATAAAGTTTCATCTCTGCCTATAATAATACATCATAATATATTTATTGATTTTGTCTTGTATCATTAATCTGAATCTGCAAAGTAACTTATTTTGATTTTTTGATGTTTTTGATAGAGTCGTTTATCATTATTTAATTGAACATAGTTTGAAACAAAGCATGAAACGAAGGTGTTGCTGCTCCTCTTTGTTTACATGTTTAATCTCATTAAAACAGTCGAAACCAAATCATTCAACAAATGATTAAATCCTTTATTTACAGGTTAATCTGAGTGAGATCGGGATTTCTATTGGGACATACAGTTTATAGACAGACATATATTCACAGGGCTGACAGTGTCACTGACATTATACACATACATACCTTTTCATATACAGTCTATGACTCACACATACAGTTATTCTTTAAAAAAGGCATTTGCAGGTGTTATTGTAAATATATGAGCTCTTCAGTTATTAAATAAATGTTGAGCAGTTGAATATTTCCTCTGAAATGTGACGAGTCGACGTGAAGAGCAGAAAATGACAGAACAAGTATTTGAGTAAAAGTCCTTAGTTCCTTTCCACCGCTGTCATGAAGTACAGGTGATAAAATGTGGACAAAGTCTCATAACTTTCAGTTCTTTCTTCAGGATTACTTTACCTTAGTGACAGAGTTGG